TCGTAAAAAAAAAAACGGTATTATTAATTTCAGGTCCTTCTGGGCTTTGCCTACCCAAGCTTAAGCGGTTAGGGTGTCCTGTTACCTGAGGATTACTGTAAATTATTTCTACGTTGTCAATTTCCATGGGTTCTGGTTGGTTGTTTTTATGAGGATTCCAACGAACTTGATTGGAGTTTGGTCTTGAGTGCCCTAATTGTTGGAACTTTCCCGAAAATTTGCCATCTCTGAGCTCTGAATCTTCCAGAACTATTATTTTTATTATTAATATTATAATTTTAGTTTTTATCCCTATTAAAACTGTTTTGTGCCTCATGTCTATAAAAGTTTGGACTCCATTTGTTTCTATCGCGATACTGACGCTTATTAAATGCCGCTCTACCATAAAATGTTCTATCAATATTTGGTTTATTTTGGTACTGATTCCTATGTCTTTCTTCTTTCAAATATGTCTTGTATTCCGGTCTTATACACGTATCTTCAAATCGTCTTTGATTCATTATGTATAAAATATTCTTAAATTCTCTCTGTTTATAAGTTTTGTCCAATAACGTTCCCCGTGTTATTTCTTTAATTGTATTTACTAACAAGCTGTCTATATATGTTAGGTCTATGCCAGATTCACCATTATAGTATACTATTAATTCATCTGCTTTATATTTAATACTTTGAATCTTATCAATTAGTTCACTTACTGTATTATTTCTTAAATTGGCAATTCTGATGTAAATTTGATGAGGTTCGGTGTCCGGTTTGTATCTCAACTTTAATGTGCCTTTAATAAGTTACCAGTTATCCGGCTCGGGGATATTGATAATGGAATTTTTTGCTTCACCTTGTATGGTTCTATAGTATATAGCTCCAACTACCTGTTCCTATTTTCATCGTTTTGTAGCGTTGATTTCAAGTATTCCACGTTGCTAAAAAATGAGTTTACTGTTACATCTCCTTGTCCTGTGAAGACTGCGGGATGATTAACAGTTTTCAGTGTCCTGTCCAGAATGTCGCGAGCTTGCTGTTGTCTTTGTTTTAAGTCGACATAAGAGAGTCTGAGTTATTCCAGCTGCTGTTCCCATCTAGCAAGCTTTTCCCTTCTAGCAAGCTGCTCCACAATATATGCGTTGGCTATTTCTTGTTGCTCCATTCTCCTTTCGTCAAATCTCCGTTGCCTTCCTGATGGAATTTTGATGTTATTGCTTCTGTCTTCTCTTGTAGCTTTCACAAATTCTAAGTGATTGCTGCACTTTCACAAAATATTTATAGTTATTTTATTTGTTCCTTGTCGTATAGTGATTCGTACACCGATTGCCGTGTGTCGGTACTGCACTATTACCGAAAACAAATGTTCGTTATTTAATTAATTAGTGGTTCATACACCGATTTCAAGTGTGTCATCTACACTGCTCTTATTTTATTCCGTTTCACACTCCTTTTTATATAATCGAAAAAAAAGGAGTACCGACTTCGCCAATTTTATATTCTTTTTGCTTAGGAGAGGAGTCAACAGTACTCGGCCATGGATACTTCACAACTATCTTTATTAATTTTCTTAAATCATAATGAAGCTTATAGCAATCATACATTTATGTTAATTCAGCTTAAATTATATTTTACAAATGTTGTTTACATATGCAAAACATTAAAATTGTTGCTTAATTCATTTATATTAAAACTAAACGGCTGCAATTCTTGGGATTGCGGCCGACAAATAATTTTATTTCTGGATTTGAACGGAAGTGAGTTTAGTGTTACAGTTTGATAAGTTTTATTTTACATTTATTTAATGCTATTACCTTTTCCATAAATTCGTCAATCTTGTCATTTTTAATATAAATGTTCATGTCAGTATTTGTATATGTAACTCGCGTGCGTCCAGTCAAGCTGCCATGTTAATTTTGTTCAGTATTGTTTGGCATTGCAAGACTTACGCTTGAACATTGTTTACAAATTGTTCAACTTCATTACAAAAGTTACCGTTCTATTCTTACTATTTGCAACACCATTACCCATCTTGAGACCCAGCATTCATTGATGAATAATATTCGACCTAATAGCCCACGTTCAGCAAGTAGTGAAATGTATTTCTGACATGAAATAAAAGCTCCTCATAAAAACCATCAGCCGTTAGGAGTCGGCTTATCATAGGTAAGTTACTATTTACATACTGGGAAAGCTGCGCTATGATTTTTTTGTTTGTTTTGTATTTTTGATTGTGCTGTCATGTGACGGTGGGGTGTTGCCTGGTGAAGGAAACTTATTCTCATTGTTTAATTTGAAAATAAATTAAGTTTGAACATATTTCACTTTGTATCTTTTTCAATACGCTATACGCTATAGTAATCCATTCAAAAAGCAAACTTTTGAATTTAACTTTAAATTTCTGAAAAAGATAGTTTTCATTCATTTTTTGATAACTGATTCGGCAAAACCGGCTAGAGGTACTGATATCTAATGTAAATATAGACACCTTATTGACATTAAAAACTAATATTTATAAGATTGTTTAACAAATCTATCATATATTACAATTTCGTATTTTCGCAATGTTCCTATTTTAAAATATTTACTTCATATTGATGATCAAATTTAAAATTATGTAAGATTTATTCAGAGCCAAAGTTCACAAACTAGTAACCGAAGGAAGCCTTCCTAACTCTAAGTCAAGACATTTAGATTCTATCTAATTCACACACTTTTAATTTCTTTCTTTAGTAAAGACTGCAGTTTGTTCCGTGTCTGAAACAAAAGTATATATTATATATTCAAAATTAGATTTAGTTCCAGCATATCGTCGTTAGTGCACCTTTTTGCATGCTTGAGTTCATGAGAAATTCTGCACAAAAGGTTCAGAGATTTATCAACGAAGTGGTTTATTAATTAAATTTTGCTTTCGCATACATTGATGACCTGATAACTGGAATGAAAATGACGAGCAACATTTTAGTGATCTACGTGTACATTTCGAACGTTTGTTTGAATCTGGCCTTAATTTAAAACGTAGCAAGTGCGCTATTAGTATTGTATTTTTGATATTGACTTTTTACGATAATAAAAATTAAGCACGGATGTTCTTTTCGAAGAAACCTCCTCGACAAAAATGAATTATAGTGTTTGGCAGAGAATTGTTAGCAAATTTGTTTGATATTAAAATTTTTTTGTATTTTTTAGAGGGACTGCAACTTTTTTTTTATTATTGATCAATATTCTTTGGCTTTTGCGCTAAATCTTGAAACTGAAAGTAGTCCAAGGCATGCGCCGTCACAGTTTTAAAATGATTTAAGATTGAGCTATTCTTGATATTTTATCTAGAGCTTTTGATTACTCCTAAATTGTTTTCAAAGCTATCAAAGTGATTAAGAAGTTATCAACAACTCCTTTGTATCATCCTCAGGCAAATATAATCTGCTATAATGTGTTTTCCACGCAAAACGAAATACTTGAATTTAAGTTTCCAATTACAATACATATACTTATGAATTTTGATTTATATCTGGTTACCTCTATGATGACAGGGAATATTCCTTGGCTTAGAAATGTTCGCGAAGTTTCTCTGCCACTTGCCGGCCGGTTTTTCAAACTACATTGTGATCTACCGGCACTCACGGTGATTCTCACCTACCTCAGGCGCTCCATCTCTGGGGGCATTGGATCGACTGAAGTTTCCAGACTATGTACTATAAGCAAGGCCGAGATTACTATTCCATTACAAATCGTTCAATGGCCAACGCGTACCATGACTCTTGATTAGAAAGTGAGAGTTCTTGGTCTATGTTCTACAGCAGCGTTGAACTGTATGGTAGATTACACAGAGCTGGATCTCCGGAGGTGTTACGTTACCTCCATCCAGAAAGGACTGGTTGGTCAGCTCCGCAGCCGTTAAGTGTCAAGGTGCCTGCCCTCACGAGGCTCACCAAATTTTAAAACTAAAAGAAGTGATTTTGGGTAATACATTTTTCGAAAAATCATCTATGCTGAAACTTATTGTAATCGGACTACCATGGCTAATGCCCCAAATATACCGTTTTTTCAGATAAAAGGCTTTTGTCGAATCTCCAATAAAAAAAAAGTATCTAATTAGAAGTTAAATAACATTACACTCAAGTGTTGTTTTACCGATACGCTCTTGAATTTTTTGAAAATTTCTTTCGTGTTTACATATTTTATTAAAAAAATGCTCGCTATAAGTGATTTTAGTCGCGACCCAAGTGATCGTGAAGTTAAATTTTTATTTATCAATTCATTATTACTTTTATTTGTGCATTAAGCTTAAATATTTTGTTTTGTCGAGTCATTTAATGTATTATTTTTGTTGTTACGTATGCACATTTCTTTTTAATTCTTTTATTTTGCTTTTGTTTTGTATTCTTTGAAAACACAGCTTTTGTTAGTTGTTTTTATGTGTCAAAATCAATACATTCGCTACATAGCGCCTAAACTTACGCTTAAATTATTTTGAGCGCTAGAACTGTTTGTTTTTTATTTTGGAAGTTTTGTTGCTTTTAATTTTGATTATAAGTTTCTTTACTTATTTAAATTTTTTAAATAAACTATTATTTTATTTTTTCTCTTCCTTTTTATATTACTATTTGTTGAAGACATGGATGAGGATGACCTCATCATCCTTTAAGTACTATTTAAGAAAATATATTTTACTCAAATGAATTTCGAATAATATAACAAATAAAATGTTAATTAAATGAATATGAATTATCCCCTAAATACTTACCCGAATACTTACCTATATATTTACATGCATACTCACCTCACTGAATTTACTCCCATTCCAAACATTCTTACCAGCAACCCTACTCCGTTCCGTTTTCTCTTATTCCTATAACTATGTAAAATAATGTATATAAATATGCATGTAATAGTAATTTTAAGTTAGAATATATTTTCTTTTNAAAAAAAAGAAATACAAACATATTTACATACATACATATATAAAAAGTGTACAAATTATATAAAACTTCAATAAAAAAAAAAAAAAAAAAAAAAAATTTAAATAAAAAAAAATAAGAAAATAAAGAAAAAAACAAAAACCAACCGAATCAACTACAAAACGTCAACAAACACAGAAACAGCAGCGCTGCATAGAAGACAACACACCCCTCTTCTCCCAGAACAACAAAAAGTGGTTTGTAATAAGTCCGGATGCCAAAGTAAGTCCCACAAGTTCTCACTCTATAATATACTATTTGTTTAGCGGATTTTTCTCGTGCTGTGTATGATACCCTCTTGCCATACACATCCATAATCTCCTAAATAAAATTATAATTTCTTATGGAAAGCTCCCAAAATCCGCTAAATAATAAGAAATAATATATAATATACATGGTATATAACACATATAGCGGATCCCCCAAAGTCGGTAAATGAAAATCCTCTAATTTTCATTTACCGAATATAACAGCGCTCATATATAAAATATTAATACATATATATGAAAAACGCGCGCTTTCCCCTTCAAAAGTATATAATTTAATACAAAAACCGCTTATTATTATATATCCCCTCACGTATATAAATCCCGCTTCATATAAAACCAACTGGACCGAAAACCCCTTCTAACAGGACCAGAAGCGGATCACTGCCCGCTCATTATATTCTCTCACTTATGTATATATTCCCAATATATAAATACCAACTGGCCCAAAAACCCCTCCCAACGGGAGCAGAACCGGACCAGTACAAACATATCACACTGTCCGAAGTTACCACCCCCATAGCAAATCAAAGCTACCAAACGTATACATACGCACATATACATAAAGTGGCTTTTTCGCATTCCGGCAATTTCCACTCCTTCCCTATTTACAATAGCAAGCAGTCAAAGATACGTATGTACATAAGTATACATACGTACATACTCGTATAAGCTAAGCAAAGCACCCAGCATACAAAAAAGGTATACGAAAAACCCAGTATACATTTATACATTGCTGTGCTCAGACGCGCTGAGACAGTACAATACACAAAATAAAAGCTACCCAATAAATAAACTAATTAATATAACATAAATACGTACATATATATATATAAATATACAATATATATATAAATATATAAAAATAAATATTTTATAATAAAATTCAATAACCAATATCTCACAATGGAGGACAAAATGGAAAAACCACAATCCCTCTACCCCCTTACAGGACCCCGAACTCGCTCGAAATCACAGGCGGAAGAAGAGGAATTCTCCCACTTACACAAGAAATTTTTATACGAGCTATCCAGGATGGAAAAATTCTGCGGTAAATGGTGGAGCACTTCTGAAGAGACTCACTCTGAAGCAGCACTTAAAATTTTCAAGGACCATCTGGAAAGACACATGGAACTAGTGGAGGCAGCCAACCAAAACCTACAGATGAGCAACGTGGAAGATGAGAAGACACGCTTAGCATGCACAGAGGCCCACGAGACCACAAATGACAATGCAAAGCTCACGAAAATCCGAATAAGTGAGCTACTTGACCAAATCCAACAAAATATGGATTCTTCCCGGTCAAACACCCCCATCACAAAGATACCTCCCTCAACACAAGCTGACTCACTCAGCTTTCTCAAGGTACTTGCATGTGACACAGAAATCTTCTATGGAGGATATGAAGATTGGCCCTCATTTAGGGATATGTTCACAGCTGTGTACATCAACCACCCCCAATTATCCGAAGCTCAGAAATTATACCACTTGAGGCAGAAAACGAGAGGTAAAGCGGCTCTCCTCATCAAAAATTACCCACTTAGTGGCCACAATTTCTCATTAGCATGGGATGCACTCAAGGCACGCTACGAAAATAGAAGAATCGTAGTCGATGGCCAAATAAAGACGTTGTTCAACATCCAACCTGCCCACACAGAGAACAGAGAAAGAATTCAACAGATCCAGACAACAATAAATAATTGTCTTTCTACCTTACAGGCAAATGGAGTATCTACAGAAAGCTGGGACCCAATGCTTGTCTACCTCTGCTCCTCAAAACTGCCGGATGAAACACTAGCTCTCTGGGAGCAATCACTCAACTCAAGGAAGGAGTTACCTCGATGGTCAGAAATGGACCAATTTCTGACAGCTCGGTACGAGGTCGTGGAGCGACTCAGCACATACAGACCCAATAAGCCGAAGATCAGTCAGCCCAGCTACCCCCAACGGACACCAGCAGTCCCTCCCCCAACACTCAATTATCGGAACAGAACCCAATCGTTCCATACTCAAAACAAAAGGCAAGTTTCATTTAAACTATGCAATTCAAACCACTCGATGATAACGTGCGTCAAATTTCGAGAACTGTCCGTCTCAGACCGGAACAAGTACATTAAGGACAACAACTACTGCATAAATTGCCTGGCGTACTCGCATTTGGAGAAAGATTGCAAAAGCAACTTAACGTGCGTTTACTGTCAAAGACGTCACCACTCCCTCCTCCATTACACTGCGAACCCCCACACGCCTTACCCCCCAAAACCTCAAAGAAACAACTCTATCCAACTATTCGAGCAACAAAGAAAGGACATTGCTTTCCATCGCAAATATTCCCATTCTCCACAAAGGAGAAGTAACTCACATCAGAGCTCTCATTGACCAAGGCTCTCAAAAAACTTTTGTGACATCCCGTATACAAAGGTTGCTTGGTCTCCCCACTATAAAACCCAACTACCAAATTCTTGGCATGGGCGGTAACACAGTCCAAAACTCGAATATAATATGCTCTATTACGATATGCTCAGCTAATCAGACAGTAAAAATCGCGGCTCAAGCGATAATACTGCTTCAATTGACGCACACTCTCTCATCCTTTAAAATAAAAGAAGTAGATTTGACAGAATATCTCTCAATACCATTAGCAGACCCCAACTGCTTTACACCAGCTAGAATAGACATGGTCATTGGTGGCGATATAATCCCAAAAATACTCACCCCAGGCCTCAAAATTAATGTAGGCGGTAGCTTAATAGCCCAAAACACAATATTTGGGTGGATATTAAGTGGACCAGTTGCGGAAGAAATCTCATCATTCTCTACTCAGGTTATTGAAGCCCCTTCAGAATCACTAGGAGAATTACTCAGGAAATTCTGGGAACAAGAAGAAGTACCACCGGCCCCCATATACACAGACGATGATGAATATTGTGAAGCGCTCTACAAACAAACCACTCATCGGCGAGAAGATGGTTGTTATGTAGTAAAGCTGCCATTCAAGTCGGCATTCCGGACTCAATTGCACTCGGGCACTCCAGACCTGCAGCACAGCAGCAATACCTCAGCGTGGAACGAACCAATGAAAAGAAAGATGAACTGCGGAGCACCTATTCAGAAGTTCTAGAGGAATATCTATCGTTAGGCCACATGGAGCCAACCCATTCACGAGAAATCATACGCGACGGTAAATATTTCTCCTTTACCTACCCCATCACGCGGTGATTAAACCTGGAAGCAAAACTACTAAAGTCCGAGTAGTTTTCAATGCCTCAAAAATCTCTCATTCCAGCCTCTCACTCAACGGCGTGTTACATACTGGCCCCGTTCTTCAAAATGACTTAATGCTCATTATTCTAAAATGGAGATTATATAAGTATGTATTTAACGGCGACATTGAAAAAATGTACCGCCAAATATACGTCCATAAGGAAGACCAAAACTTCCAACGTATTCTATTCCGTAGAACCCCCAATAGTCCGATAGAAGACTTTAAACTAAAAACTGTAACGTTCGGTGTCAACTGCGCTCCATACTTGGCAATAAGGACACTCCACCAATTAGCCGAGGACTCTAAGGAGACATACCCCCACGTATCAAAAATATTAAGAGGAGAGACATACGTAGATGACATCCTCTCAGGCGGACACAACCTAGATTCAGCCGGCGAATCGATACATCAAGTTATCGAAGTACTCAAGTCAGCCGGATTCCCGTTAAAAAAGATCACAGCGAACCACAAGTCCCTACTGAAAGACATCCCCCAGCCTGATCTTTTAGATGAAGAATTTCTCCAATTCCAAGAGGCAAGCTCTACAAAAACCCTCGGAATAAAATGGAATGCTCTGACTGATACATTTTCGTACTCAGTTGACCCCCCATTATCCTCAGACACTGCCACAAAACGACAGATCCTCTCATCTGTCGCGAAACTTTTCGACCCGGCAGGATGGCTATCGCCCATAATGATAGCAGCGAAAACTCTTCTTCAACAACTATGGATGGAAGGAACAGACTGGGACGAAACCGTGAAGCCGATCTCACTCCACAAGTGGAACAGTTTCAGGAAAAATCTCGTCGCAATCGAAGAGATAAGGATACCTCGATGGGTGCGATTCAGCCCAGATAGTTCCATCCAGCTACACGGGTTCTCAGATGCTTCCGAGAAGGCATTCTGCGCTTGCGTATATTTTCGAGTCCAGCAAGGTGAAGCTGGTCCAGAGTGGTTATATAGGCCAACCTCTCTTTGGCCGAAAAGTTCACCGACTCATTCGCCCCATCCCGAACAACGACAAATCGAAGCATTCCACGCTTTAGAATATCCTGATTTTCTAGACCGTTTCTCTTCCTTTGCCAAAAGGCTAGGAAAATGCCAAATCCGCCCTCTACCACTCTCACTCAAAGCGACTTAAAGCTCGCAAAAACTCGCCTCATAGCTATCACCCAGCGAAAATACTTCAAAAAAACCATCACAACATTGGAGTCGAAATGTCCAGTGGAAAAAAAAAACCCTCTCATGGATAAAACCGGACTGTTGCGTGCAAATGGACGTCTCACTCATGCCGCCCTCAGCTATGATGAGCGCCACCCAACTATCATACCCGATAATTCCCGATATTGTTCCCTCCTCCTCGAGTTCCTCCACTCAACTCTACTGCACGCGGAAAAACTGGTGATGATTCGTGTGATCCAACAGGAATACCATATTCCCCGAATTCGCCAGAAGGTAAAATCCTGCATTTTTCGGTGCAAGACATGCACGATATACAAGCAGAAGATGAGCACGCAATTGATGGCAGCATTACCTCCTGAACGGTCCACATATACACTCCCATTCCATACTACCGGTGTAGATTTTTGCTGGTCTATTCCTCGTCAAAACATCGACTCTCCGCCGAGCATCCCATTCCAAAGCATACGTGTGTGTATTCGTATGTTTCTCAACAAAGGCCATTTATCTGGAAGTATGCTCCGACCTAACAACAGAAGCGTTTAAGGCAGCATTCGCGCGATTTGTAGGACGAAGAGGCCAGACCAAAACGTTCGCGTGGTAGATATCCGCATTCAAGGCGGAACGGTCACCCGCAACATAACCAAACTCTGTCTGCTGCCACCCGCTTAGCTTATACAACCCCTCTTCTTCTCTCTCGAAAAGCTAAACTCTGCACCCCTCCATTCTCCATCATCTCATACTAAAATTGCTTTTCGAATGATGTCTTTTCAGATCACAGAACTTTGGAAAGTGCAGGCTTTGCTGCAGCACACATTCATTGCGTTTCTGCAGAGCGTTTATAGCAATGACCCCTGAAGAGCGATACGAGTCGGCCAAGGCACATCGTTATTGCCTTAACTGTTTAGCGACATCTCACACCACGGGAGCCTGTGATAACCCCGACAGCTGCCGCTGTTGCGGCCTAGTTCACCACACGATGCTTCATCGGTCAGGACATGACGTTTCCAAAGACCAACCGAAGACGCGGAAAGTCACTTTCCGATCCGGTAACACTCGGCGCACCAAAAAACCATCGAAGGCGACGCAACAACCAAGAAGCGCCAAATCATCAAGGTTGACAGTGCGAAGGACCATCTCCCGTAATCCACCTGCCGTGCAACAAAGGATTCGCGGGTTGGTGAAAAGAGCCCGCGAAACACTGAACCAGCTTGAAGACCTTGTCGAGGTATCGTCCCCGCAGGCCCGCCGGCATGTTGAAGACATGGATGAGGATGGCCTCATCATCCTTTAAGTACTATTTAAGAAAATATATTTTACTCAAATGAATTTCGAATAATATAACAAATAAAATGTTAATTAAATGAATATGAATTATCCCCTAAATACTTACCCGAATACTTACCTATATATTTACATGCATACTCACCTCACTGAATTTACTCCCATTCCAAACATTCTTACCAGCAACCCTACTCCGTTCCGTTTTCTCTTATTCCTATAACTATGTAAAATAATGTATATAAATATGCATGTAATAGTAATTTTAAGTTAGAATATATTTTCTTTTTCTAAATTCTAAAATTATATACATTTAATAAATTTGTACATAAAAACAAAAGTGCGTGTTTTTAATTAAACAAATAAGTACATAAATACAGCAAATAGCTGATATTTATACACTATTGTTTTTCACTATGTCTTGTTCATTCTCTAACTGTGCTATTAAAGGTGAGTTGAAGCTTTGTCCCTTGCTGGCTTTATGATGGGCATCTGCTGGGTTGAGTAGGAGAATCGTTGACGCTATTAGCGATGGCAAAGGTCTACGGTGGTCGTATAATATTCAAGTAGGTCGACTGAAGTAGACTTATTTGAACTGTTTCACCAGACATGTAATGGGTTTAGTGAAGTCATAAAGGTGAACTAGCCACCTTAACAGAAAAGTTCAAATATTGAGAGCGTATGTTCCAGTCCTCTAAGTGTTTGAATGAGTCTCAAGAAAATTTAATCTTCAAATGTTCCTGAGCCTCAATATGGCATGGATCCGGCTGCTCCACTACCAATAGCAATTTTTTTTTACAAAAACTGGTTGTTGTTCCCCTTAAAATAATCTGTTTTTACTTCTATGTTTGCTGAAGATAAGACCAGCGAAGATGTAAAGTATTACATCACTTCAAAAATTAAATCTGATGACGTAACAATGCGAAATTTTAATTTTCAATGCTTTAATCAACTTCTTGATACTAGTCGTACATTCTGGCCTCCGGGAGCATTTTTGCGCGAATTTCAGCATAAAAGTATTAAGCAAATTAATTTAGTTCCTTACCGGTTTGGTAAAATTTTAGATTTGGTTTAGAAGTATTAAATTTTCTATTATTAGAAGTGTTCCTCTTGTTCAGAGGATGTGTATCACTCTGCTTTGAAGGTATTAAGCAAATTCATATAGTTCGTTAGCAGTTTGGTAAAATAATAGATTTGGTGTTTGTGGATAATACTTCTAAATTATCAGTTATTAGAAGTGTTCCTCTTGTTCAGAGGATTTGTATCATTCTGCTTTAGAGATAAAATTTGGAATCGGAAGTAAACTTGTGGCTGATAATTCTACTCTACTAGTTTTCGATGTACAATTACGACAGCTTGGCCAAGTCACACTGATAATATTGAAAAAAGTGTCTTACATTTTATTAGTACCATTATTTCTCCCTTTGAAAAGTGTACCTAAATAGCCTGTGCTTAAAATAAAACACATGAATTCGTGGTTTACAAAGAAGTCATGTTGTTTAAAAAATAGAAGGTCAAAAGCTTTTAAGACTTTCAAGAACAAGTGGCAATCACATCAATCGAAAATTTTGAACTTAACAAAAAATGTCATAATGATTACAATTGAAGTTAAGAAAAAATAGAAAGTGAAAAGCTTTTAAGACTTTCAAGAAAAAGTGGCAATTATATCTATCGAAAATTTTTTGAACTTAACAAAAAATGTCATAATGATTACAATTGAAGTTAAGAAAAGTATTTATACTAACCAAAACTGTTCTACGATTATTTAACTCCAAACGTAAGCTTTCAACTTTTCCGTCCGCTACAATTACATGTGGCAGTCTAAGTATTTCCCATATGTTCGCGCAATTTTTTTACATCAAATTGGAATGAAGGATAAGGTGGAGGGTGTTCTGGCTTTACTTGGTATTACCAACTAGCGCCGGACAGCGAAAAGAAGAGAGGAATGGCGTGCTAATATTGTTTCGCCATAATACCGTAAGCGGTGCCAACGCCATTAAAGAAGAAGAATAAGAGGAAGCAAAATGGTTACTAAAATATTTGAACATTACAAAGATTCCTTTTATATAGTAAATTTTGATCGTGGTTCGATAAACTTACATGATTTAAAGTGCCAAGTAAAACCAATAAAGTAAATAATTCAGTGTCGAAACTGCCAAATGTTTGGACATGGTGAGGGCGATTGCTTCGTGAAGCCGAATTGAGCAAACTGTGCTGGAAACCACAAACAAAAAGACTTTTCTCATTCACAATTCCCACCACACTCTCGGGAGATCATTCCAAGAGCGCAGCGGCGACAACAACAACATCAATGCCAACCAAATAGTTCCATAGCAGAACGTGCAAATTACATTAATACTTTTACTGAGAATGAAATCACTGAGCTAACTTTGGAGCTAATACTAAAATTAAGATTATTACAACCTAAAAGTAATTTTCTGGAACTGCCGTAGCATCCGCTATAAATTGATGGAAATTTTTAATTCTTTAGGTAAACATGATATCAAAATTGGTATGCTCTCTGTAATGTGGCTCAAACACCCAAACAAATTGTATAACCCAAACTAGGTTTGTATACGCAATGATAGGGAAATCAACACAGGAGGTGATGTCGCTATATCAATTAAAAAAGTTTGATGTTTACCATAATACCTAATAAGATTAATACGGTTTTAATTGAAATCATCGGAGTAGAAATTATTTCTGCAGATAATTAAATAGTTAAGCTTTTCAGTTCCTATTTTCCTTTTCGCTCAGAAGGTTTTCGCCTTCAAAAGATGAAATTTTCGAGTACAGAAATAGTGTCGTAAACAGAAAGCAAAGTTCGCTTGAAAAGAGAAGCAAGCCTTTCTAGAATATTTCTAAAATACTTCGAAAAAAACGCAATCAAATTTCTCCTTTACATGTCAATGATAAATTCATTAACATCAACAATGAAAGGCAAATGTCTTTGTCAATAAATTTCTTGAAAATCACAGTCAATACGCCTATGCAATACGCCGTTGTTAATACAACTCTAACAGAATTAAGTTCAATATTATCTGACTTAGGAGTGTCTGAATTTGTAGATAGTAAATTTCCTGCAGGTATTTATCATGACATCGAAAATAGTATGCCAAGATATCTATCTAAGGACGCAATACTACGTTTCCGTTTCATTATAAATTCCTGTCCTAACCCTGGGGAAGACGTGCTAGGAGCATTTTGCCCACACAATTTTTTAGTCGTACAAATTTCTAAGTCTTATGATATTGCTCCACTTGTTGTGTTCAGTGCCTCCGGTAAAACTTAAATAAATAAATAGAAAAATTTAAAGTTCAGTGCGTGAGCAAAATGCTCACGAGCGACAATCCATGTCACTCTGTGGAGCGCGCCTTCTCTAGGTTTAAGTTACAATAATTTCCTAACACTTGGAAACCAGCTAAAATTATATCGACTCTTAAACCATGTAAACCTGCCAACATGGCCGGTAAATACAGTATCTATCTATTAGTCTCCTAAGTAGTTTAGGCAAAACTTTTGAGAAGGTAATTAACGGCATCTAATTCACCACCAGACCCATTCGTTTTGCTTTTTTATTAAGTCTGGAGAAAGCTGAACTCACGGCGCGGTTGTTCAAGCCAATAATGTCGATATCATCGACGTACGCCTGCTGCTGTACACTCTTGTAAAAGGTTGTGCCTTCTCAATTCTGCTCTTACCAGTAACCATTATCTTCTCTTCATTTGAGTCCAAGAGAAATCAATTCAATTTTTACTTCTTCTTTGGTTTTATTTCCCAGGTTATAGAAAACAGCACTAACTGATCTTCCATTTTTAAGGTCGAGTATAAATAACTGACAAGACTTTTTTTAACACTTCTTTAGTTATAAGACTCATGTGATTCACTAGCAATTTTAATTCCAATTGATATTTTCTTCAAGAAAAAATCAGTTACTCCTTTGCTAGTCAAAACGTTCTGAAGATACTTTCTTGCATTTAACCCTTCATAGAAGATATGCTCTTTTGATGGTGTATTGTTTTTGCCACTTTCAAAAAGCTCCGTACTTCTTCTTCGTCTTAAAAAACTTCTAAAGGCGTTCAATAACTTTGCATTTCACCATATTTCACACTTAGATTATTAGAATCCACAATTTTTTTTTAATTTAGTTAAAACATTTCGCTCTCGGCGCGTATGAACGCAGCAGTTATGCTGTTTTTTCATTGCATATCGATCATTTATCCAAAGAGCGTAAAACTTCGGACATAAAATGTTGTTGTCTGCGGCACAACACGTAATATAATGCCGATAATTTGGTCTCATGAGTTAACCTTGCTTTTACATCTTGACCACTTGATTGCTGAAAGCGTTTAGAAGCAACTAAAGGAGGAGTTCCTTTTGTGTATGTATTCGGAAACACTGCTTCAGGAGACGTATTTGCTGAATGTGGCCAAATACTGGGTCCAAACTATTATAAAATCCTCGTCTTCTAATGTTTCTTGGCATTTTGCATTTGCCGCATTTTGTTCTTTTCTATTGCTCGGTAATTGCGAAATTCCAGAACATCTCCTAAGGTCGAAATTCGCATTAAATTCTATTATTTGATCCGAATAAATATTAAAAGAACTCAAGGCCGACATATTTGCACAATAACGAACGAATATCCGGAATCAATGCAAAATTATCTTATGCGGATGTACAAACATATGTGCAAAAAGGGCTAAATGCAATATTTTAATGAATATTTTCCAATAAATTTTGCTTTCAGGGGTATAAGGAAATTTTGACCTATAATAGTATCATAGTATTTATTTTTTAATTCGATCTCTCTCCAAGTCACGGTATCTTTTGCTAAAAATTGTTTAGGGATTGGCTTAGTATCTGTATAGAGTCTGGAGACAGTTTTGTCTCGACCAAGATATTCTTTATTCAACAATGTATTTCAAAAAAATGAGAAAAAAATAAGTGATGAGAGAGCTCTTAAATAGCAAAACGTATGAACCATAAGATTGCTGTAAAATAGGGTAACAAATTAGCGGTAGAAAATGAGTACAATGAGAAATACATGAGCATAGTATAACTGAATCAATGACTCGTGCCAGCAGCCAGCGAAGGGGCGGTA